ACACCATTGGTGATGCCCACCTTGTATGGTATAGGGATAAAAGGAAAGTTCATGATAACACTTACATAAAATAATTTAAGTATCTAATAATGATAATGAACATATTACAATGTTACACAATGTTAGTAAATGATAATTAAATGTCAATTATTGTTAGTGTAATATGTATTTTTTGCTTAATGCTGCAACAATTACACAAGTTCCAAAAAGTGCCACGCCCACTTTTCCCTAAAAGTAGTTGTGTGTGACTATATTTGATAGATATTATTGATTTATTGGAGCATTATATCAACTTTTTAGTGCTTTAGTGTGAATATATACATATTTATACAACTTTTGACAATGTTGCAGCCACAAAATCCAAACAAATTTGCAAATATTTCACTTTGAGGGCTAAGGGACATATTTTGGAGGAGGTCAAATTGAGAAGATTTTGAGATATAAATACTGTTTCCATGGTAACCATATAAGTTAGAGATTGGACATTTCTGGCACTGACTAACCATGGTATGCTCTGCCTACTATAAAACTATGAATATATGACATGCATTAGTATTCTTTTTATCAGGTGGTATTAAAGTACCCCCAAGGTTTTCTTAGGGTGGGGGTATGAATTGGCCTGAGGGCCGTCTGCCACCCCTACATGAAGTCCAACTACCCAGAAAGTACCTAGCATAATCATACAGACTGTTTGAAATATGTTGGAATGTGTGACCTTCCATGAAAAATGGAAGTTGCAATTATCAGAGTAGTCCACAGTCTAAGTGAAGCCTTTACAAAATAAGACGTTACGCCGTTGGCGTATTATATGTTCTCCTTTATCATTCATTGCTTTAAATAAATAAAACTAAATATTCGAGTTAAAATAAATTACAAACAATACATTTAACAATCCTTAATATCTTCCCGTCTGTGTATATCAGTTGAATATGACAAGGGGCTCTGTGAAAGAGTCTAGAAGGATGGTGCGACAACGAGAGCGCAGGGCCGAAAAGCGCGACAAAGAAGAAAACTGGTAGGGTTTGAAATGTCTACTTTCTGGTGATTCTAATTCTGTATATCGTGACACAACCTTTTTGAATATAGAATTGTATTGAAGCGCACATTAATCTGAACAAAACTTGAAGTTTTTAAGAAGATTCCAACAATATTAAAACTTTTGCAATTACTTGGAGGAGCATTGCGCATATTTATCGCGTAAATCTTTGCATTTTGTCGGTAAAATGAACAATTACAATGTTACGCCGTGATGTACAGTATCTGACGTCGTATCTAAGTGTTTGAATTTGGAGTTGAGTGGATATCCAGCAAGGTTTTGTTTTTATAGTTATGGATTTTTACTCATTGCCATCATAACTCAATCATACTGACATATATATTTTCCGAGTCGATTATGCCGTTTCTGATTATTTGTACAAATGGAGCGTACATTGGAACGCATCTTAGAACTACAGTAAGATTTCATTCGATTTATTCACAAATTACACTAGTGGGTATTATCTATCGAAATTTAATTTGAATTCATGATGGAAACTTCTGGGTCAAAACATTGAAAGGAAGTATGAATATAAACTAAGCTATCAATATTCACAAAATAGTATATTAGATATAAGGGAATTTTAGAAGACTTGTTGTTGATTATGTAAGCGAGACTGGGGCAAAACGGGACTTATTTTTCAGTGTTTTGTAAAACAGACTGTCCTACAAAAATGCATATATACTTTCGCCATTTAAACGTGTGTTAAAATATATTTAAAAAACTCCTGTGTGTTGAATTCTTTTAGGGAAATATATGCACGAGATTATTAAAAAGACCGTTTCGGGTACGTTCTATAGTAACTTTTTGATTGACTTATTGAAATGTTAATCAAGGTAGATATAGTCTACTTTTTATTATTTCTAAGTTGATTTAAGATGATAAGCGTTCATGGTGCAAATAAGCGTTCATGGTGCAATTTCACAAGATGGCGCCCGACATCACGACCAGCGATGACGTCATTCCAAATATATATTTTCAACAAATTCTAGTTGTTGTGCACTCTAAGCTTGTATTCGCAAGTGTAACTTTCCGGATGTCGGCTACCGGATTAAACTACTATTTTATGGGCAACACATTTAAATATAAATACTACCTGCCACTATTCAATTCATTTTTCCTTCATGCAAATTATTGAGGCGTAGATGTAAAGTCAGGGGCGTAGGCAAATAATGAAATAATCGAGGAATATGTGAGTTACAGACAATATATACCAATTTTTTATTCACCATTCTCAGTTTTAATCTGAAATCTGAAGTAATATTTCCAATAAAATTTTAGTAAGAAAGTTTCCTCGCCTTTCTACGCCTGTACGAAGGTAATCCTGCGTCCACCCATTTAAAGGCCTCCTTACATTATGAACGAATCCACTAAACGAAGCCTTGCGTAAATAGGATAGTTTCTAAATAGCAGAAAATCAATGAAATCTAGTGCTGCCATCTTTTATTCAGCTTTTAATTTGGGCTAGAGTTCCATGCTAAAATCTTGGAAAAGTGGCTTAATTTTATGATTTATCAATGTGTGTTAGTTGAATTTGTATAAAAGTTGAATGATATACCACATGATTACCCTGTTTATGTACATGTTGTGATTAAACATGCAAATGTTGATTGACATACAAATAATCCAAGGTTTTAAAGAATTTTAGCATTGCATCTATGGATATTTGGCCCAAGTTTTTTTAAATTGTCATAGCAAATTATTCAAATTACATAACTGTGTAAATCAAAGCTATTATAGGAGAACACATTTCACTGAATTCAAATATGCCATTTAAAAGAAGGTAATGTAAGTCATTAGAGGTCTAATATCCAAGTCTCTTAAAATCTCACGAAAAACGAGATTTAGCGAGATTTCAAAAGCTATATGGAAACTATACTATTGATCAATTCTGGCGATTGGGAACGTAAGATGCGAACCAAAGCACAACTTTGCACATGCTTCCGAATCAGTCCGAAGTTTTCCGAATGGATTACTTTATACGAAAGCCCCAACGATATACAAGTTATACATTAATGGAACGAATTTTCCTCACGTTCTATACACGCAAGGTTGGCGTCGGGGGTTTTCGCTCATATGTGAGGGGATAAAGAACATCCTTAATTAGATAGTTAAGCTTGACGTAGATTTCATTTACGCCAGTCTAACTTAAATACCCTTTGGAATATTGGGAGCAAATTTATTCTCAATTCTTTCTCATAACGCAACATCTTGGGGAGCATTTTACTTCGAATTATCACTTGCGGGGAAAATGAAGCTGCTCGCTCGATCTTCAAAACGGATGAGGAAATGTGTTTGAATCAGCAAAACAAATAAGCAGACATAAAAACATTATCTCTAAATTATCTCAAAGTACAATAATATATAGACACACATTAAAATCATAGAAATAATTCTTTAATTGCAGACGATATTTTAAGCACGGGGAGTTCATATTTGAATGAATCTTTTATGGAGTTAGCGAAGGAGTGATCCCTTATGAATAACAAAATTGATTAATACAATAACGCAAAAAGACAGACCTGTATGTGCAGCCTTAGATAAGATGATAGAATTCATGCGATACCTTTAAAGATCCGTGTAAGGTTTCAACCACTTTAGCTTGAAATATAAGTATAGTCACATCTAATGTTAATTTCAAAAGGCAGCCTCTGAAAGATTTTTTTTCAAAAACCGTCCAAACAAATGTTTTAGCCAAATTAAGATATGTGCTAATAATTAAGAATAACTTTCACTTTTTAGTGTTAACTTTCACTGAAAACTTGAGTTATTTTACATATGTATAAGCTTCATTGTAAATAAAAAATGTCGTACTATTATCCCATCGAACGAGATTGGGGAGGTATAGAGAATGGCTCTGTTCGTACGTACGTCCGTCCGTCCGTCCGGGCAATAATTTTGTTCATATTTGATATGTGAATACTTATGGCACAATGTCAAATGCCACTTTTGAAAAATGGACGCCGTTTTTATCAGTGTTATTTCACGTGTTTTACTATTACTCGAAAAGTAGAACAGCGATTTTGTTAAAATTTTATACGTGACTGCTTAGAAGCATATTAAACTTCCTTTAAGACACTTATTTTGAAAAATGTGCTATTTTACGTTTTTTACTTTATTCGAAAAATAGTGGAGCGATTTTGTTGGAAATTTTATATGTGACTACTTAGATGCATATTACACTATTTTTTGACAATTTGGCTAATTGACAGCCATTCCTTAAAAAGCCATGTCAGTCCGATGTGATATGCTACGCCTTGGCATTGCTTTTATCTAGTTACATTGAATTTACGCCTACATAAACAATCTCCTAGTTTTCCAAAACATGCAATACTAGTAACCAAATGTCCAATTATCAATGTTGAGCCAAATGTGAAGCGGGAAATAAGATTGCGAGTACCTTGGTGAACAATGGCCAAATATAGAGACTGTATATACATATTTGGTGCGATCTTGATTAGATTACTACACTGGTAAGCATCAAATGCAATTACCGGATGGTTCTAATTTGACGTAATTTTACTAGATTAGTCTCAGAACACCAATGCATATGCCTGCCTGCTATCTTGACTATTTGCTTCAGTAACGACTGAAGCTCTATCAGTTACGGTGGACGACAGGCGTTTTGCGTCCATCTGATAAGTCATCATGAAACATTTGGCAGAATCACAAAAATAAGAAATCAGTCAAGTGCATTTGCTTTAAGGTCGAGTTTTTTCTTTGCATGAAGTATACGAATGATCCTATCATCGTAGGTAAATGTAAATGAACTACATTTGCGCTGCATCCTCGCGTCACAAAACATCTGCATCATTTTTACCTACCTACTCATCGACTGACAAATTACAACACGCGAAAGATTAGTACTATCTGTGCAGTATAAATGAAGGTAAACCTATACGTACAGTATTATATACCCCTACATTCCTGGATTGGCTGTCTAATATCTTCGCTTGCCTGTTAACAAGCCAGTCCCTGAGAGGCTGCTATCGCGAGCTAATTGATAAATGATTACGTCGCAGTGAAGCAGTAATTTGGGAGACTGTCCTTTGTAATTGGCTTACGGTGATTGTTTAGCTTGTGGAGCAGCCTCATACAATTTCGGAAGATTCATCGGAACGAGTTAGAAAATTTATTTCAAAGTAAAGTAGGGGGAAAATTACTCGAAACAAATTGAGACACTTGGAGTGTGATCGCTTGGAATCATTGCGCTTCCAGCAAAATTGGATATATGAAAGTTCATTAATGTAAGGAAATTATCCTGTTATATTGTGATAATAGAAATGGAAATATTTAAGAGTTATTGGTTTTTACTTATTCTTCAATGGATGTCAAGTGTGACAATTGGAAAGGTGGCGCTGAAGGTTGGGTACCTAACCGCCGTCACAAACCAAACGCCAAAACACAGATCGGGTCGCCAAGGCAAAATAATATCTGGGGCAATGACGTATGCTGTGAACGAAATAAATGCTGATCCCTCTGTTTTACCTAACCATTCACTACACTTTATATGGAACGACACTGGGATTAGTACACTTGTTGGAACGAAGGCCCTTACGCAACAATGGAGGGAGGGTGCGGTAGCCTTCTTTGGGCCAGAGGACTCATGTGCCGTGGAAGGACGCGTTGCCGCCTCTTGGAACTTACCCATGATCAGTTACGTAAGTATCCAAAATGTTTAGTCATCCACGTGTACGTTTTAGATCATCACACCGTACTAATCCGTTCGTGGTATCATGGTTTAAAGAGTTTAAGCTACACGTATTAGAGTATTTGTACATGGAAGTGTAATTTTACGACCGCCGGGGGTTACTCACTCTCCACTTCTCAGTTCATGGACCTTATTACAATTATATTTCCTTATTGCTTTGTACTCAATCAGATAAGTAAATACTATAGGAAAGAGAGTAATGATCATAACTCTACACATTCACGTACAAGTTCTCTTAAACGTGAAGCTTGGCCTTCCTTACACTCTTAAAGATTATTACTTGGATTTCCTTATATTGAGAAATTGTACTACTCATTTTAAGTCAAAAATTACTTAAATAATCTTGAACTACTGAATAATTTTTAAGTAATTTTGAAGTAATTCATTTATGGTGAATTTACTAATGCAAGGAGAGAAATTGAAATACTTACTGTAGTAATTGTAATACTCATTTACATAATTAAGCAATTAAAAAAATCAAAATGACAATATAAGTTAAACCTAAGTAAAATGAAGTAAAACTAAGTATTTAACTTTAAGTAATTTTTATACTTGGGAAATAATTCATTTTTAAGAGTGTATAGCCCATGTGAGGCCATAAATACAACATACAACGTTCAACTGTTTTGGGGTCAATGGGAAGGGGTAAAATTGCGTAGGCTGTAGTAATAATAGGAAGGTTAAGCTACACGTTTCTTAAGATCATATATTTGTATGTGAACGTGTACTCTTATGATGTTCGGGGATTACTGCTCCCGTCGCAACCAATGACAACAAACTTCCTTATACCGAATACTCAATAGGACAAGTAAATATACTAAAAAGGAAGAACTCATCCCAAGAGTGCCATAATGCCACACGTTTACGGATTGCAAGTTCTCTTTAAAAACCCGTAACATAGTAATTGACCTCTCTAATGCCTTATTACACTTAACACAAATTAGAGTGCCATAATTGGGGAAACCTTATTTAACGTCAAATATTATTTTCATCAATATATTGTAATATTTACAATTATAATGCATTTAGTTTTCATCAAGCCAGTTCTTAGGAAGAAATATAAAACACAAAGGATATTAAATGTTTTGAACATACCAATAATAGATGGGCAAATTACATTAATCGCCAAATTTGCCCATGTACGTGCACCATATTTCATGAAACAGTTTTTCAAACAAATTGAAATTAAAAGACAAAAAGAGGGTTACATTATTGAGGGCGGCTCTATTATTATGGTTTTTATAATCTTGTTATTAATCCGCGTCATACTGACGTATTGAGCATAAAAATATGGGTATAAGTCCTGCAATATAATCGTATTTCACTCATTTAACAAAGCAGCAGCAAACCGATGACGACAAAATTACCTTTTTTATATTTTGCGTGCAACCGTTTATCAAAAGTTCATAACAAGTTAATAGCATAACCATGTAAGCATATAATATATCTGCGAAACAACGTAATGTTACAAATGGAAGAGATTTATGTACAGTATACTGTATACATGTATTATAGAGCTTTCGCTGGTGATCCACTCGATTACGCTGGTTACCGAAACGGTTTCAGCAGTATTCAGCAGTAATATTACATACATCTAATACAATACACTATTCAGCTTGATATCCTTCTGGATATATTGAAAATATATATAAAATATGAATATAAATAATATATATATACAGGGTGGGCCAAAAAACGCCACTTTTTTTCAAAATGCAAAATGCTATAACTTTTTCAATTTTTGATACAAAATCATAATTTGTATACCAAATGAAACTTGAGGTTGTTATCTAGCCATGGATCAAGAATTGAACACTTTTACTTGAATAAAATATGTCAGCAAGCGTCTCACTAAAACATGTGGTGTGCCATGAGAAATAAGCATAATTTGCAAAATGTTCCTGAACTGATATGGCCTGATGATCGCCAAGCTAATAGCCCTGATGCAAACCCCAGTGAGTATAGGATAAGGGAAGGTCTCCAGGAGATTGTATGAAGGCACCAAATCTAGAAAATTGCTCATTTAAAGCTGACAATTAAGACAGGTTGAAAAAAACTTAGCTTACATTTCATTGATACTGCTATATCAGCAAGGCGACTAAAACTAAAATATATCATCAAATATGGTGGCAGACCAATGGAACTCCTCTTTTAAATCAGATATAATCCAAGTTGAAGGACTTGTTACATTATTCTAAGAACCCCTGGCACTATTTAACTGCAAAATTTGGGGTATGTAGGTTGGAAAATAAAAAAGTTGTAGTGTCTTGAAAAAAAGTGGCGTTTTTTGGCCCACCCTGTATATACATGTATGTCCATCGTCCCAGTTTGTTACGATAATGAGGTTCATATGACGAAATTAATTAAATGACCATGTGGGGTGAAACTGTTAGCGAAATTACATGTTTTCTTTTGGCTGTTCAACCAAAACAGATATATATTTTTCAAACTCTGAATAATGTTGCGAGGTTCCAAAAGTGACATAGATATGAAACGTTCAACATCATATTTTCAAAAGCTATATGCATAGTACTGTATATGCTACATTTCACTTGTTTTGGGAATTGTGAAATAGATTCTTGGGCACTTACTAATGTAATTTACTCGAATCATTGAATCATCATTGTAAAAAGCAGTTCACTTTTTTGGCACACTCAATATAGAATCGTACTTGATTTTGTGTACCACTTTCTCTGACATAAAATGTTGACGAAATAAAAACAAAAAGTATTTGGTAATAGTGTTATCTCAAAGCCAATTAAATAGAAAGGGGGATAATTAACAAGCAGGAGTTCTTTTCATTCCTTGCACATTGGATCTTCTAGATTCTCTCATCCAGGTATTTTCAAACGTAATAGTTGCGCATGCGTAAGACGGGACAGTCCAATACCAGACTAATTTTGTTGCGTAGTAACCACGAGGTTGCGAGTTCGAGACGCAGTGTGCTCCGTGCGTTTATTCATTTAATTTTTAACTTTAAGGTTCCACGTGGGATATTTTATAAACATTGTTTATTCTTCCTATAATTCAAATATCTGTATTTTATAATCGCAGTTGTTGCGGACGACATTAATATCGAAAGCCACTGGTTTTCAGGACTGGCTGTCCTGTAAATTAAAATTGTATGTGTCGACCCGACCCCAGCGACAATTTCTCGAGAGCTCACTTCAACTGAAAATTAATGTTCTAAAGTTATTTTATTTCCTCTGAATAAATGCATGAACTGTACCAGGATTTATTCAAGAAACGGGTTCCTGTCATATCATTTGCATTGGGCTATCGGGTGCAACGATCAGTGGTCCGACAGAACAGGCAATTGACGAAGAGATCGTTTTAACCTTTGTAATATACAAAAACTCGATACTTGTGTTTTGCGTAGAGAATATTAAAAAGGTGTTGTCTCAGTCTGGATCATTTAATAGGCTGACCCATGAAGTTTAATTTTGTGAACGAATATTACACCTAGAATCTTAAACATTGTCTGGCCCACCACCTTAAGTTGTAGATCTTTGCTCGTACTTTAGCCACAGCTAAACACAGTCAATTTATCGATACATTGAACCTGCAAAAGCATCTGCTAGATGTTCAAATGATCAATAATTAAAAACCCATTAATTCAATCAGAACCACTTTATACATTTGTAATAAAATCTGTGTTTAGCGCTCCTAATGTTAAAGGAAAGGAATGAAACAAATTGAGAGCAATTCACAATTTCACAACAATTTTTTGTTTTGCTTTTGGTATTTCTTCATTGTCACGCCTTTTTGATAAAAAGGCCAATAGTTCTGATTTTCTCTAGCATTAGTTTTCTAATTATTTTATAAATTTCTGTACCTTAAATTTAAGTTCTACATTTGCTCAGTTCTTTTCATCAGAAAATAAGATAAAATACACGAGAAAAACATTCATTGGCATGGTTTTGAAAATTATTGTTTTCAACATTTTACACTCTATCCATTCTAATCCTCTTGAGGTAGACAACCTCAACTTGTCCACAATGTCGTGTATCTATCCCTAGGAGAATTCTCATTAATCAGCGATGCTTCTACCGATTATGTAACAACAGAATTCTTTAGTAGCTAACGGTAAGTTGATTAAACCCGTATGGAAATGTGCAGCTACTGATTGAGTTTGTTATATATCATGTTTTATATATTTACATTGATCCACTCTTGAGTCGGGAATCAATAATCGAGTCTACTGAAATGTTCTCGTTTGTTTATAAACACAGCTCTGGTTTAAAATTTCGTTTGATGATACACAGACTCTCTTTGTATCACGCACGTCAAACAACGACAGATTTTTTGAAAGAAATTAGAAATTATCGTATTTGTTTAGTTCCATACTTGCATATTTAGTATTTACATTTATTCCATAATACTACTGTTTTCCCAGGGAAATATGAAGGAATAAAAATCGTTTTGAATCATATGACATGAAAAAATCGTATTGTCCCCGGGAAAATCGTATTGGAGTGTATTGCATGAAAAAATCGTATTGTCCCCGGGAGAAAATCGTATTGTAGCGTATTAACCTATTTTGGGTTTCCGGTTATTTTTAACCTTAATATGGGTTTTATTCCTCGGAAAATATTATATTGACATTGGGCAATATGATATTGACCGAGTGAGCGCAACCAATGTGCATTTATTAATATAATGTTTGCATTATTCAAATGTAACATTTTAGAGGGATGTATTATGGAATAAATAGGTTATTTCTGGTCGGGATTGAATATGGGTTTTACTCCTCGGAAAATATGATATTGTCCCTCGGAATAAAACCCGTATTCAATCCCTCCCAGTAAATAACCTATATTTATTCCATAATGCTACTGTTTTCCCTGGGAAATAAAATCATATTGTCCCTCTCCTCAGGAAAAACGTATTGCCCCGGGAAATATCGTAAATGGGATCTTGATTCCTCTAAAATCGAGGGCAAGGTGATGA